TGGATTACAGCTCTTACTCTGTGATTAATAGACTTTAAGAATAGGTTCACTGGCACAGGCAGGGAAAAGGACTTTACTATCACATCTTTACGTACATCCTTTCACATCTGAATGTGAGAAAAACACAAAGCAGGCTGTGTGTGAGGCTGCACGTGTACAAAGTGTCGACCTGTATCGATATTAGTCTATGGAGAAAAAAAAAACAGACTCACTCTTATACCTGCTGAGAACTTCGCAGGTGAGTCACTAGGGCACAAAGAGCTCTGCCTTAATACAGACAGCTGACATTTGGCCACAGGCCCCTCCTGTGCTGCGGGCTGTGGTTCAAAACATCAAATACTCTCTGCTCTGCGGCTGACACCACTTCTTCTCCCGTCAGCAGAGGTGAGGAGGAGAACTCTGAGAAAATCTGCATTAGTCAAACACTGAGCAGGCAGCTCTCAGCTTGCTTACAAAACAAACAAAGGCTATAATAGAACACAGAAATCAACCTGAGTGGTGCTGAGAGGGAAATTATTCAACACAACTACACATGTAATTATAAAAAAAATAGTTATTTGAAATAGAATTGAAGGCATAGAAGTTCTTGAAGAAATGCTTAGCACCCAAGATCATGTTATGTGGCAACAGGACAGAATTACAACCCTTTTGGTCAAAACATGTACAATTTAAACGTTAATACTTGAAGTATGTGTGGATTCTGACTCTCTGCCACTGCCACGTCAAACTTTACCTCAGTGTCTGTAAATCTTACTGAGTTATAACCATTTTGGAGCATTTTAATGTCAGTTTGCTAGTTGATCATGGTATCCAACCTAAATATGGTTGATTCTAAAAATAAACCAGTTCACAGATGCACGCCTAATTATTGCTTTCTGAGAGTTTCAGTAAAATCAGTTTAGTAGTTTGTGAGATATTTTGCTAACAGACAGACAAATGAACCCACAGATAATGAAATGAGTACAGCGGGACAAACATCTGTATTTAGTTTGAACTGTGTAAAAGACAGAGTTAGTTATCTGCTAAACAGTAGACGACTAAATCCCTACATCCTACACACTCTAAAAATGAAATGTTGGATTTACTTAACCATGTTATGTTACCTGGTTCCACTTAACTGTGTTGAGTAAATTCAAAGCAACATACTCATGTTCTTTGGCTAAAAAACTGGTATATTCCTTTGAATTTACTCAACTCAGTTAAGTGGAACCAGGTAACAAAACATGGATAAGTAAATCCAACATTTCATTTTTTACAGTGCATGCTGAAATGGCCCTGGATAAAACACTAAACTCTATTTTTTTCCTGGTGGCAGAGCTGTCAGCATAAGTGAGAGATTGAAAATAATGATAATGTGCTTTATGGAAGCCAGCTCAGTCCACTGCCAAGCTTTTGACATTTTCATTTTGGCCAATGTGTTGATGGGGTTTGATGTTCCAAACTCATTAAGGTCGGGAGGTAAAGTAACGTTAGGAACTTGCACAAATAAAAAAAAGCATTAACATAAATTAGAGGCTTAGGCTGTTTACTTCAAACTGTCAAGATTGAAAAATGAAGAGCAATGCTGTTTATTCTTGTGAATAAGACCAAGGATGGTAAAGATCACCTTATTCTCCTTATTGCTCTATATTTACTTGTTTTTCTGGATAATCTTTGTCTTGTTAATCCTCTCCTCCTGTCATGAAAGACAGGGGCAGATTGTGCTCATGACATCTTATGTGGTGCGCTGCATGTCCTCAAACGCTGCTGCTCACGACTAAGGAAGGCAGCGCTGTGTGTCTAAATCTGTGCCCACATCTCAGGTGTAAACAAAGTCAAGGACCAGAGGGTCTGGTTGTCCTTCATGGAGATCCTATCTAACCAGAAGCAGAAACCTTCAGTAATGCTAAAAGTTTCTGCACGGCCACTTAATCTCAGCACAGACTGCTGCGACCTTCTGCAGCCAAGGATGAAGGAAGACAGATGTCTGTTTCTGCTGTATCAGCTCACACGTCCCCGTCACCGAAGTGACGTGTGATCAAATGGTGGATTCACTGAAGTGACTGGCTGGATTTCACCAACACTCCAAAGCTAAAATTTTAATGCATCTCCAGTCATTTATGCACCGTTTTTTTTTTTCTGTACCCCTCTAAATAAAGAAAATTCAGTCTCCACTTGTCAAAGAAAACTTGCTGACCAAGTGACATGCTCTAATGAATACACTGTAACTCTAGGCAGTGATTCAGAGATGAAGTCCTGAAGTGAAGCCATTTTTCTCCAGCTGACAGTGTTCATGTGAACAACACAGATTATTCAGAAGGTTTGTAGAATACTCGTGCTGTCAGCTGCTTCGCTCTTGTGTTTAATGCAACTACAGCATGCTTGGCATGCAGTGTGAAAGATTTAACATGACATGACAAAATTGAAAGAAAACTGGACATTTTTATTAAACCTCAAATTATTTAACGTTCAGTCTTGAAAAATCAATACCTGAGAACTTAGGCTGTTTCTATCACTGGAATGTCTGAATGAAGCCATAAGGAATATTCGATCAGAAATGGCCCGTGTCCGCAGGAGTAACAGTAATTTTGACAGACTGAAGCAGCCATTATTAATATTTCTCTACTCTGAAAAAGAATAAAATCCCAATAAAAATAAACTCCATAAATTATGAAGTTGTAGCCATTTTGTTCAAACCTAGAAAATAACATTATGCACACTCTCATGTGAAACAGGGTTGAACTCAGTGGTTAATACCAAGTTTTTAACAAAGGTGTCACACTACATCTTGCGCTCAGATGATAAATTTACCAAAAGGATCACACTGGTCACATTTAAAACTTTTCAAAATCTGTAACCTCAGCTCGTCACTTCAGGAGTAATTGTTTTGAGTCATTACACCACTATGGGATAGTGTGAAGGCTGAAAATTAATTCACACATTTGTTTTCCTTTTTTTTTTACCTGTATATTTTCATTTTAAATTATTTCTGTACACTTTATTTTTACCCATTCATTCATACATGAAAATGTTAAGCTTAAATGGGAATAATGTGAAAAAAGGTTTGGTCTTTATAGCTTTTCTAAGAGGTACATTGAGATCTTTTCAATTCTTGTAAAAACAGTGTCTTATTAAATTTGCTTCATCACACCTGATCTTTATCATTTTATACTACTTTTAGCTAATGTTCTGCTACTTTTAGCTTCAGTTTTGGTACTTTTAGCTAATGTTCTGCTACTTTTAGCTGTTAGCAATTTTTTTCTATTAGCTACCCCTTTGCGACTTTAGCTTTAAACAAGCCTTTTGCTAAGTTTAACTTATAGCTACCATTCTGTTTATTTCAGATCCACGCTCTGCTCATTTTAGCTTTTAGCTGCAGTTTTAATCATTTGTGCTAGTGCTTTGCTAATGTTAGCATCTGTTGTGTTCATTCACTCATTTTGGCTTTAGCATCCGTTTTGCCAATATTGGCTATTTCTGTTAGTTTTAGTTAAAACTTTTGTTCTGCTTTGTCCGAATTGTGTTTTGCTCTTTTTAGCCTATTTTATAATTAATTTAACTTCAGTGACTAATCCCCAGCTTCATTCACAAATTTCAGTAGTCATTCATTCAGGATTCACTGCATTTTCACAGAAAATACAACTTCTCTAGTTTTCCACTGCATTGCCTTTCCATCAGTTTGTCACTAAAATATTTAAATATTTCAAGACCTTTTAAATATTAATAGTTTGCAAGAAATTACATAAACTACATAAGAGCAAAAGTCATTATAAGTGGAGCCACAAAAGCAGAAACAAATCCACGTATCCATCAATCAATCGATCTACTGACCCACCTACCTATCTACCCATTTATCTAACTATCTACCTATATGTAGTATTTGCGTGTATGTGTTTGTGTATGTGTGGTACAGAGAAGTATTTTACTGTGTAATAGCAAAGCTTGAGCATACATCAGCAGTAAACTGCAGGTCTACACATGCTGTTTTCCACACTGTGGTGACAGGTAGAAATCTAGATGTGAAAGCCATTTGTGCATGATTCATGTTCAAACTACGTTTAGACTTAGGCTGATGGTTTGCTCTCCAGCCACAAGATGTGCTGTACAAACCTGAAGACAAGGAGTGGTTTCACTATCTAGAGGTTTCTTAACTTTGAACGACTGCATTTAGAGATCTGCTAAAACTCATAAAAGTGGTTGGAAAATACTTCACATAACTTATTGCTGTTTTGATAAGTTAAAAGATTAATTTAAAAGAGTTACTTTACTTGATGAAAATCATTTACAGTAACAGATATTTAAAGTAACATCCAATTTTGTTGGTTGTGTTGTGAAAAGCTACTTAAAATAAAGGCCTTGCTTCTCCATCTGTTAGAGTGTTGTACTAAGATCAGCTTATGTAATAAAATAACAGGGTTAGGGTTGTAACCATTTTGCTCTGACAGTAACAACTTTGACAATAACACTATGTGATCTCATAATTAGAGCATACCATGTGTTGTGAATACTTTTCAGCCTCCATCAGATAAAGTTTAGCTTAGTGTCTTTAAAAGTCACTCAGTTATAGCCACTTACTATGTCAGTTAGTCATGGCAGCCATCTTGAATTGCATTGATTAGAAAAGTTAATCATTTGTGGCTGTATATCCAGTTACTATTTCCTGAAAGTTTCATTAAGCATCAGTCCACTGGCTCATATTTTTTCGAGCTAATGGTAATATTTTAAACAAAGAAATAGCTTAATCTGTTAGTACTCAGAGTATGTGTTCATCATTAGTTTCTGCTACTACCACATCACACTTTAGGTCATTATCTGTAAAAGTGGCTGAACTGTAGACATTTTTTGTGCTTTTAATTTTAGTTTGCTGTGGCAACCATCTTGGCATGTGTTGACTCTAGAAGTTTATAGATGTACATGCAAAGTTTACTTTCTGCAAGTTAAAAATAATACAGATATGAGCTTGTTTTTCTGAGGGAAACAGAATGAAAACCCAGGTTTATTGTCTAACAAGGATGACTCACCTTTGCTGGAGTGTTGTCTGGTCCTGGTGGAGCGTGTCCTCTCAGGTTGATGACGTGCACCTCCTGAGGCAGGCTGACGGTGCCCGTGCTTGCACACCCTGACATGACGGCAAAGCTCTTCTGCAGGGCCTGCACCGGGTGTCCTGTCCCAACTGGCAGCAGCTCACATGGACTCCGAAACGGTGGCCCTAGAGGGAAACAAGGGGAGAAAACACATTATAAATTATACTGTCATTTATCAATCAAAAAGTACAAAATACACTACATTTGAAAGTTTCTTACATTTTTTTATGTTCAGCATATTAAAGTTTAACTTCCAGCCAAAACAAAAAAAAAAGTATTTTGTTTTATTTAATGTCACATTTTTATATTTATACCTTAGGTAATTCTTATGTACCTTTGCATCACAGTGTTCTGGAGCTTAATATAACAGCTGACAAGAACCATGTAAGTTAATCTGGAGATTGTTTGCAGTTTAAGCTGACCTTTATACTTACATTTTTAGGGCTCAATCAATGCAAGCAGCATAAAAACTTCCAGCTATCTTTTGGACCTGTTTTTACTTTTATGGGTTGAACATAGGTCACAACGAACATCCGATGATATTAAGAATTTTTAATTTAAAAAAATGTGTAAAAAGGAAACCTTAGGAAAGTTAAATCAGGAATTATTTGTGTTTTTCTGACTGTCCTGTAAAGCAGTTGGTGTAAAGACTGGTGGGGTAATGATGATGATGATGATGATGATGATGATGATGATGATGATGTAAAATTACTAAAGCCGGTTTTGTTTGGTGTTCAACCATGTTTTGTCTACATCCCAAACAGATGTAAGGAAGAGTTCTGTCACCTATGACTGGGTAATGTGTCTTAGTTTAAAACAGATTTACTTAGTTGTGTGGATGCTAAGTCAGCTTTCTTGGGAGGTTTTCTTTTGCAATCTAAATACTTCTGCATACTTTGTGCTGTTTGAATCATTGATTTACTAATCTTAAAATTTGTTCCTGTAGAAAGACGTAGAGATCTCCAAAAACCTTTTCTTTCAAATCTGCTTCAGCACTGTTGCTTTATTTTTGCTTTTAGGTACTATTTTGCCACTTTTAGCTTTTAATACTGTTCTGCATTTTTAGGCATTTTTTTCTGTTTTTAGTTTTAAGCTAGTCTTTAGCTACTATTAGCTTTTACCCAGACTTTTGCTACTTTATATTTTACTTACCGTTTTGCTACTTTCAGCTTTTACATTCAGTTCTGCTATATTAGCTTTTAACTAGCCTTTTGCTTCCTTATCGTTACTGTTGCTACTTTAATTTTTTACCTAACAGAAGTTAGGTAAAAATTGCTGCTTTAGCTTTTAACTAGCCTTTAGCTACTTTATGTTTACTTACTGTTTTGCTACTTTTAGCTTTTGCCTACAGTGCTGGTATTTTTTTAAGCTTTTAAATAGCATTTTACTACTTTATCATCTTTCTACTTTTCTACTTTTTGATTTTAGCTACAGTTCTGCTGTTTTAGATTTTAACTTTTCAGCTTTTTAGCTTTTGCTACATTTAGTTTAAGTCATCTCTTTGATACTAGGGATGCAAACAATTAACCAACTTAGGGTTAATTGTTGAATAATGGTTTACTAGATTAAAATTTCTTCCATTCGATTAATTGAAAACATCCGTTTAAACCTTTCAGTGTAGTTTTGCCTTCATCCAGTAGAGGCACCGCTGCTCTCAGCATAGCCAACTCTAAACCCAGCCCTGTTGAGCTGAGCAGAGAGCAACCTCAACATCGGCAGTGTCATAATTAAACACGCAAAACTTGTTTAGTTTTATTTGCGACACAACAATAATAATGGACTACTCCAAACTCGAAGGAAAAGTACTGAAGACTGTACCGGACTATCTGGCAGTATGATGCTTAAAACAAGAGAGCGGGATGATAGAGAAAAGTAGGCTAACTGTGACTAACGTTTGCTTCTTCTTGTTGAGTTTAACTCGTGTGAAAGAAAAAAGTGACAGTCGCTACAAATAATTAACTCGAAGTTAATCTTATCTGTGCGACGTAACCCGGCCAATGAACTAATCAAATGAACAATAGCTGATGTCAAATCTTGCCGAGCAGCCCCAGCCCAGATGGTCCCTGTCAGGGAATGTAAACAAACAATTGCCAGTACTCATTTGTACTCTCACATCTTTCAGGATATTTTATTATATTTATAGTTTGCTTTTGAGTTAATATTTTTCTTATAATATTACCCTGTTTTTAAATGATAGTTTTTCATCTTCAGGGTGGATTAAGTGTTTTACTTATTTTATTTTATTTTTTTCCAACTAGCAATTTAATAGATTCCTGTTTTGTTATATTTTATAAATATGCCCAAGTTTGACAATGTGAGAGAAATCCACATTTTTCTGTTTATTCAGTCAGCATTTAACACAGCTGGTACAATGAATTGTTAAAATAGTACTGTACTTTTTCTTTATTTAGCAAGTAAAAAATTAGCCCTTCATGTTATAGAATGACTCTTAATTCAAGAGAAATGTCAGGTTTTTAGGAAAATGGCCGCTTATCAATTAATCGTTAGTCGATCGATAAGATCAATCAACTTTAGATTTCATTAATCAATAACTTGCATCGCTATTTGATACTTTTAGTGTTTTGCTACTTTTGTCTTTAGCTAGTCAGGTACAATTTCTTTAGCAAATTTTAGCAAAGCCACTCAGCATTTAAACTGTATTTTTGTAGAAAATGCATTTTCTCTTGTTTGCCATACGTCTATATTAACTCTTGTTATAAACCAAACTTCTGTTTTTAAAAAGGTTTCACCCTTAAGTAGAAACATCCTCTACCATGAACAACTTTTTCATTTGCCATCTGTATGACCCACTTAAACACCTACGGGCTTTAACTATGTCAGGCAGAAGGAGAGTGGCACCGAATAGGTTGCATGGGTTCAAGTAAAGAAATCCACAGCTCTTTTGAATTAAAAACTAATGTATGATGTGAAGAAGCATGAGGCCAGGTTCTCACTCGGGACCAGACCTTGCCTTTTACCCCACAGCCTTGTGCCAGTCGAGGCCCGCTCACATTTCAAATGCATCACATTAAACACGCAAAGGCTGCCAATCGCAATCTGATGAAACATGTGGAAACAATTAAAGTCTGAGTGAAAGACAGTTCGACAGCAACAGTTCATTTTCCCAACTGACTCCAAAAACACAGAGCCTCAGCAGTGAGGGAATCCACAGGGGAAAGGTTTCTTCTTTCTCTTTTTTTTAATCAGAACACACAACTATTGTTAGGTTTTCTTTTGTTTTGTTTTTTCTCCTTCCTTTCTGTTGTTGTTTAGTAAATCCATGTTTAATCAGAATAAGACTGGAGATGAAAGATGTAACGTGCACGCAAAATTTATTGTTAACATATCCGAGTTCTGCAAGGAATCTCAGGCCATTGACCGTCTGAACTTTGAGCAGACTCAGTTCTTGTCCAAACACAGAGGGACTAAATCATATTAGGAACTTAAATAGCCTTTTTAAACTGATTAAAACATGGCAGGGTATTGCAATGTGATATAAAAACAGGACCTAATGTCAAAAACCTGCTGTGCATCAATATTTCCATCCCTGCTTTTAACCCCTCACCCTTCTCTTCTTAAATAACCCAAGATTCCCTCCCTAACCTTGTCATCACATCTCACTCCCAAAACATATCCGAGGGCACCTCCCCCACCCCCCACTCAAGATACAAACTGCCTGACAAAGAAAAACTAGTTGTTGGTTTTTTTTTTTTTTTCTGAGAAACTTCCAGAAGATTACAACACTTTGGAAAATGATCTGATGTTTTAATTGTTTGAAAATACAACAGAACAAAAGGCCTCTGGGGAAAAAATGAAAATAACTAAATAGAAAAAAGAAACACACACCAGTTTGTATCGTTAGTACAGGATTTGCCAACTTTTTACTTAAGATAAATACCAGTAGAGTTCTGTTTCCATCACGTATGTCATCAGGACACAGGAAATAAAGCTAGCATCTGTCAGCCATCCCACAACTTCATCTCTGCTGTCACCTTATCTGTCTGCCTTTCACCCACACTTCTGCCTTCTTTCCAGCTGATTATCTGTTTCTCTTGTCATTGTTTCCTGTACAGGTCAGGCCATTCTGGCCCGTTAAAGGAGTCAAGCTAAAACAAAAGAAAGAAAGGCACCTAACATTGAGCACTGACCTTTGACTCCTCACAGCTGAAACTGTGCACAGTTTTTAGATGACTCACTTTAAGTTGAATCAGCTGATTATAATTTAAAGCAAATTTTGATGTGAACAACAAACAAAACTAAGGCACTCCACATTGCTTGAAAACCCCACTACAATGTAAAAAAAACATCTAGAAAGTCTTTGAAGGGTCTTGGAAACATCTTAAAGTATATATTAAGAAAACTGGTGTCCTCATTACACAAAATAGAGTGTTTTAAACTTGAAACATGCACAAAACTTCAGTAGCAAGGTAGGTTATCATGACAGCAGCATAAAGAGGTCGGTGGCGCATGAAGAAGAGAGGTGGCAGCTAATCCATGAGGAGAACCACACTGATGAGATGGACTGACCATTAGAAATTGGAAGTAGGACTAGTCATCCTGGCCTTTGGCGTCCCTGTGCTCTCCACAGGGATGCAGAAAATATCAGAGGAAAATTTATTTGGTACTTAATAAATGGGTAAGAGCTCATTTACTAGAATAGTTCACTTTGTTGTTTAGGCAGGTATTAAAGCTCGTCCAAACTCTGAAGAACACCAAAATACTAACCTCTGGGATCTGTACTTTACTTCGTTTCTCTCTACTTGTCATTTTCTCTTTTACTGCATTTCCATTTTTGGTACTGGTCTATCAATGAGTCTCACGTTCTCCTGCCTCGTGCTTTTTCTTCCCTTCATGCTTATTTCTTGTTTCAGACAAAACAAAACAAAGAAAGCAGCTTTGATAACTGTGTGACATTATCAAGACAGTTTGATTCACTTCAAAAGTGCAGCACAAGAGTTACTGAAACTAAATAAAAGGTGTGAAATTTTTCAGCTTTCCCCGGCCAATCAAAGTCATGGTCAAACTGAGTCCACTGGACTATCCTGGTCTGAATGTGCCATTAAACTGTTGCATTATGACTGCATGCGAAGTCTAATAACTGAAAAGTTAGCTGCTCCTTTCTTCA